TTTTACAAATCTGAACTGTAACTGGAGTTAGAAGAAAAACTAATTCTGGTGGAAGATGAGATCTGAAGCCTAGGTGGAATGGTGAATTGGGTCAGGGTCTACACCAGGATATATCAAGTGAGAGCAGAGATACTCTCATTTATGTTCCTGTGCAATAGTGCCCTCTTGGTTGAACTGTCTTTTCTCTGCCCAGCTTTCTCAAATGAATGAATTTTAGTGGAATTGGCTGCAGCCATCTGGAATGTGCTCATTTGCATATGAGATCTGTGTGGCTGTCATTATTCAGCACATCAGGTTTAATGAACTCTGAAGATACCAAGGAAAAGAAATGTATGGACTGCTACTGTGTATTCTCAGTGGATCGTGAGCTAGACCTTTCTTCCTGTATATCACAATACCTAAAATTGGCTAGTTTTGACTATTACCAATACTAATTTCATTGGCAATGTATGGCTCATAGCTCTGTGCAGATAGAGCAGTTTGTTAGTACATCTACTTCTGAAGGCTGACTTTGACCTTTGAAACTTTTTTAGCTTGACTTTAAAATATTTGCATTCAGAATGCTCTGCTATTCTCTGGGTTTTTTGTTGTTTGTTTGCTTCTTTTATTTTTTAGACAGAACATACTTCACGAGCAGAAAGGAAAAGACGTGATTCATTCGGGATGTTTGACGGTTATGATAGTTGTAGTGAGGACACCAGCAGCAGCTCCAGTTCAGATGAGAGTGAAGAGGAGGTTGCTCCTTTGCCATCCAGTCTCCCAATTATAAAGAACAATGGACAGGTCTATACTTATCCAGATGGCAAATCTGGCATGGGTAAGTATGGTGCATGACTACAAAGAATTTGGTATTTATGGGTTTTAGCCTGTGCTGTGAGTTGTGAGAGACCAATCTCAAAACATTGGTTCCAACTGAAAAGGAACCAAAAGAGCTGAAGAGTTGGGCTTGGTTTGGTTTGTGAGGGGGGAATTGTTTGATTTTTGCTGAACTGAAATAAGATAGATTTTGAATCCTGCTGTCAGGAAATAAATAGTATGGGAACATCCTCCCTCCCATCACATGTGGGTTGGGTATTTATGCACATGCATATATATGTTCCCCTGTACTTTGTTTTTATTCTTTGAGCTTTGAGGAGAATGTCAGCCTGTTCTCTCTATGCTTGGGCATATATTTTTCTGTCCCTTTATGTTATATGTACAATATATTAAAATATATTTCTTGCTATGCTAGGAAAACTTCATTACTGCTACTGTATAGCCTGATAGGGTATACCTGTTCACTACCCACTGAAAGAAGACTTCAAAAAAGTGAGATTACTTTTATTGGAGAGAAAATACTTTCGACAGAATCATTAGTGGTTAGTAGAGCTCTCTCTGGGTAGAACCTTGGTATTGTCTCATTGGCATAAATTGGTCACAGACATATGGAACAACTCAGTGGGTGATGCTGCCAGCCTCTGAAGTGTATGATTCCAACTACAAGAGAAAATTGGTCTGGGTTACTTTGGGTATACTAATTTATGATTCAGCAAAGAGATCTGGTTTTATTTGAGGTCGGAAGCATTAAATATTTAGAGGAAATCAAGATTGGCAGGCCCAGATTCAAAGCAGACGTTTCCTTGAGAACCATGAAAACACAGAAACTGGCTTTAGCTGATTTAGCTGGATCATTCTCTTCTACCAGTGGTAAAATTAATAGAGAGCAGAAGGGAGGCACCCTTTAACTAATGAACTTGAGGTTCATAGTGTTTCACTGACATTTGTGGTGGTGTTCTTATTTTAAGTTATTTTTCTGTGCAATTGTCTTCAGGGTCAAACCATAAAGAAACTGTTTGTTGGTGCCACCTACAGGGCCTTCCTTATGTTGTCTTTGTTCTGAATTTTTACTGAGGTCTTTATTACACTCTTCACATTTGGCTTTTTTTCTCCTCTGATTAGCTACATGCGAGATGTGTGGAATGGTTGGTGTCCGTGACGCTTTTTACTCTAAAACAAAACGCTTCTGCAGCGTGTCGTGCTCTAGAAGCTATTCATCGAACTCCAAGAAGGCCAGCATTCTGGCCAGGCTTCAGGTAGCGGTACAGACACCCATTTTCTTTATATACTTATTATAGTTTGTGTTTGTAAAACTTGCATGATGTTTTAAGATAAG